CAGGTGGGAAGGTTGCGCCCCCCCCTCCACGCGCTGCGGACAAGATCCAGCCCGCAGTGGGATGGCGGAGAAGGGCAATTTTGGACCTTCGATCCCCCCACCCCACCCCAGCCTCGAGTTTGTTATGATCGGGTGGGAAAGAGAAAGTTTTGCAAAAGATACGTGGGAATGGATTTAAAACGGGGCAACAAGAAGAGTTCAGGCGCGCAGGACGCGCTTTGCAAGAAAAGTCGGGGGAACCGACCCCCTGAATTTATACCCCGCTGCATTTATGTTGAAGAATATACCTCCTGCAGCCAAGGCGGGTTCAATCCTTCGGTTGCCACTTTCTCCATTTTTCCCCCGGTTGGCCCCCTCGTGTTAAATATCCAGATTGCAAGCTTTTTTTTTTAGGGGCAAAGATCTGCCCTCTTTGGGTTTTGTAACATGCCAGGCAGCATCAACCATTGCCACCTATTTACTTACCTGTTATATCCCACTTTCCCGTAGATAAGGTCAAAATGGTCTACCTGGATCTCCTCCCAGTTGGGTTTTCGGAACAACCCGGCAGAGCAGGACGGGCTGAGAAACGATGGCAGGGCCAAATTCACACAGTCGGTTTCTTGGCCAATTTGGGATTTGAACCCGACACTCTCCCGGGTTGGCTTCCTAGGGGAAATCACAGTCTTGCTTTCCAAGAGCTGAGCAGGCCTGTTAAGGACGGGTCATTTTGGAGATCCCTCATTCATAAGTCAGAGGCAACTTGACCGCACCTGACAGAAGCAACACCTGAATCTAAATCCAATATATCTGTTGGGAATGAAATTCCACCAATAGTAGTGGTGGTCTTGAAGTCTCAATCAATTTTACCTGGATTTGTTGCGTGTGTTTGTTAATTAAGTTTATGGTTCAGATTTCCTCCTGTGAGCTCAAAGGGGTTTCTATGCTTTTCTCCATACCGCTTGATCCTCAAAACAGTTGGGTGAAATAGGTCAGGTGGAGAAAGAGAGACAGACCCCAAAAGAGAGAATTAAAATTGGACTTTCCATTCCCCTGTCCTCTCAGTGGCATAGGAACCTGGCTGCAGAGCCAGAGGTTGGCGGTTCGATCCCCCACTGGATTATTTGACAGGAGCTGATTGTGATAATCCGTAGGGTTATGGATTATGGCCCTATGTTCTGGCTCTGTGTTGCTAAAATGATGATGAACACTCTCACATTGTGTCTGACAAAAATATTGGCTTTCCTGTATTGTTCAAAAAGGGAAAGAAAGTATATAGTTCTCTTGAACATATCTGGACCAGTGTGGGTGGTGTGGTTCATGTTTCTGCCATTTTGCAAGGTGAAAAATTGGGTGCCCTTCTCTGAACCTTTATGGGATGAAGCAAGAAATGTGAGTGATTTGGAGGGCATTGACTTATTTTTCCCCCTGCTGCTGTCTTTTGACTTTAGCAAGAGGGCCTTGGTCTCCCTTTGTCCTGAAATAATCAGCAATGCTGTGTGCCTTTGGAGTAAAATGGGGTGGAGGGTACCAAGGAACTACAGGAAATTAGGAGAAAAGTTATTTTTGTGCCAGAATTTGGCAGTGTTATTTTTTTGTGGACTACAATTCCCAGAATCCCCCAGTCTGCTGAGCTCTGTAGTCCAAAAAGTAACCTTCCCTCATGTTTTCTATTCCCTAACTCCCAAATATTTCTACCCATTAATTAGGTGTCCTGTGATTCAGGCGGCATTTTCCTTGGTGCCTTATGTGGGCTGAAATCCTGTGACGCAGCTAAGCAGCATAACACTGATGACATCATCAGCAGTGCAGACTTTTATTTTTTTGAGGGGGGGGAAATAAAACATTTCTGATTTCTTGCTGTGAGATCCCATGGAATCCCTTTCATCATGAGGAAATCATTGGGAGCGGTGGGATGGGAGGAGAAAGTCTTTCATTACCTGACATTGCCACCAATGGGATGATTTCAACAATGATGGCAATTCAGAAATCAAAGACTCCCTGACCGTCCTGTAGCTGGCTGGATAGCTCAGTGCTTTAGCGGAACTAGAGGTTGTGAGTTCAATTCCCCACTGTGCCTTCTTGGAGAAGGGCCAACCTGTGTAGCCTTGGGCCAGCTGCACAGTTCCAGAATTGCCTCCCCCCCAGAAGAAGGGAAGGGTAAACTGTTTCTGAGTATTCTTTACCTTGAAAACTCCAAAAAGGGCCACCGTAAGTCAGAATTGACTTGACATCATATGATTATATTATTACCCAAGCTTTCTGTTGCTTCTCTTTGCTCTGCTTTTGGGACCCTTCGGCTGCAGCAAATCTATTCCTTATTTTGCAGCATTCAGACCTTCTGCCCATCCTTCCCTTTCACTTCTAGACCCGCTTGCTAAAACCCTCGGCTCTCCATGTCCAACGGGCCACCTTCCGGGGGTGTTGGACTACCGCTTCCATCCTCCTTGTCTGAAGAAGTCGATTTTGCTGCTCCCATCTCCTCCTTCACCAAAAAGGCAGGGCCCTTTGCAATGGCTTACAGTCACCCGGTCATCTGTTTTCACCCCTTCTTTCCAGGACTCCGACATGGTGGTCTTACACTATTACCAGCGGCCGAGTGAGGCAGATGCGGCTCTCGGCAGCCTTCTGCAGTCGGCCCGAGCTGTCCTGGGCAAAGGTGTCCAAACGGTACAGAAGGAACTGTGCTTCAACGTCAACTGGACAGGTAACCAGCAGGCATCCAGGCCTATGTCCGGGTTTTGTTCCAAACTGGATGGCTGAACGGTTTTCAGAAAGCTGGCCACATTAAAGGCAGAAACGAGGAAAAGCAGAGTTATCATGGAAAGGGCACGGCATTGTGAGACTTTAAGTGAAACCCTGCACTCCACCCTTGCGAATCAACCAGAAGAAGATGACTGTAAAATAAAACATCCCTTGAAAATAAGCCCTAATGCGCTTCTTGGGGCAAAAATTAATATAAGACCCTGTGTTATTTTCAGGGAAACACTATATTGGTGCCACATGTCTTATATACTAAGTGTTTGTTTGTTTGTTTTTGCTTTCCAGTTGTATATTTGGGGGTTTATAGCTTAATAGCATGTATTTTGTTCATGGCTGTTGTAAACCACCCAGAATAGTGCATTGCTTTAATGGGGTGGTATATAAATCTAATAAATAAACAAGCAAACCACTATGGGGGTAGGGCTAATACAGAGGATATACCGTTTGCACGCCTTGCATCTGAAGAAGTGGGTTTTGCCCCAGAAATGTTTATACCCTAATAAATCTGTTAAGTCTTTGAAGAGTTACTGAAATAAACCTTTTAGTTGTCCAGTATTTTGCCTTTCTGGCTCTCCTTTTTCCCTCCTTTGATTTTACCAACCTGCTGAGGCAGACTAACAGGGCTACAACTTTGGAAAAGCTTCGGAAAGGTGTGGATTTTGACTCTTTTATTATTTGTACTCTTTGGAGAGGTAGTAGGTTGTGGCTAGGATGCTCATCCTCCTTCTCACAGAGAACGCTAAATGCTGGGTAGCTGCTCCGTTGCATTATGGGTAACTCCGGCTCCATTTCTCTCCATTCTGTTTCATTCCCAGGAAAAGCACCCCCAGACGCTCAGGAGACCGAGATGCTACATTGGGTCTTTGGCTGCCCCTTTGAACAGGGTGATATAGCCACACAATCTTTCCTCAGCCCATCCCCTTCTGATCTGCTCATTGAGATTGGCCCCCGGTAAGTCCCACAGAGACTGTGCACTGTCCACAGACTGATCCTAGAATAACTTGAGTTATAGAATGTGCCTGGAGCCATCATAAGACCAGAGATGAGCCTGGGTTCAGGACTCTGTCATGGTGGTCCTACCAATGGCCAAATGAGGCAGATGCTGGTCTTTATTTATTTACAGTGGTCCCTCGCTTTACGATTGCCCTGCATTACGATGATCTTTTTGCATTCGCAATTGCAATTGCAAAACGATGGTCT